TCACCTGCCTTATATGGCAAAACAAAAAGGATGTCGCTCAATAGGTGACGAAAGTATCTCTCTAGTAGAGGGTATGGGTGTGGGTCAGAGCTGCCACCTCTTCTGCTTTTTGAAGTTTTTTTCTGTCGTTTCTGCTTTTTTTGATACGGGGTTATTTATTATTTCAATCAACATTTTTCACCTGAGATACCTTTGTTTCCATAATTATTAAAAAAATTGTATTAAAAACTACTGATATTTTTGTGCCATTCTAATTCTTTCTATTTGATATAGGTGATTTTTACTTTCTATTGACTACAAACAACTACCAACCTATATATTTGTCTTTAAATCAACTCTTTACCTATGGTTTTCGTTCGTATTTTAGTTACTCATGTTATTCATATACATCGACATATACATCCTTTCGTTTGTTTACTCAATAAGCATGAATAATTAATATGATTAGTGAGAGGAAAGGAACAGAAAAAACCAGCTCTAGATGATAATGACAGCTTGACTAGCGAAGAAGGTATTCACAAAGCAGTGGTAGTTGCTGACTTAATAATTATGTCATTAGGAGTTAAACTAGAAAACAGAAATTGAATAGAGTTATCTTCAACAGAGAATGGTTGAAAGCCGTCGAATATTAATGATCTTTAAAAGAATATAAATTTGATCCGTCTCAACTAACATTTATCGTTTGTCATCAACAGTTTCCCGAACATTGCTAATAAAAAGCTAATATTGATAATTCTATGAAGAATAAGAAATAAAAAAAATTTTAAATGCTATGATTTAATCAATAATTATTTTGGATTTCTTCTTATCATATATTGTAATTAAATAAATAGTTATTAGGTAAAAAAGATTTATCAAAAGCTCTTAAATGAGATGAAGAATACTCTTTAAAAAGAAAACCTGTTGAATGATTCTGCCTGTTTATTAATTAGTTGTGTTTTGTGATGCCATACAATGCGAGTGATTAGTATACTGGAACTAAAATTTAAAACTAACGGGTAGCTCGTAATAAAAGAGGATCTCAGTATTTTGTTAACATCTTAAGCGTTATCTTATCGCTCACGCTTTATTTTTTTATCGAAAGATTCACCGTCTAATTCTGCAGAAATTGGTATATTTCACTGTAAAAATCACTTATCTCTCTTTCAACATCATCATGAGTTAAGATAAGCATTACATACAACTTTCAAAGTCTTCATTTTTTTCAATTTTTTTCCAAAATGTCCAGTTTCTCAATTAATCCTGTTAGTTTGGGTATAATTTGTTCGCTACTCAAGAGATAAATTGGTTCATTTCAATCAACATATCAAAGGCAATTTATTTTATTTCTGGATAAAGAATATGGCACGACCAATGATAATAAGACTAATCTAAGGACTGAATGTTTTCGGAAAAAATTGGAAAAAATAGGAATTTTGAAAGTTGTGTATAGTGCTGTTTTTAAATCGTGGTGATGTCGTAAGGGCAAGAAATAAGTATTTTTACAACGAAATACGCAATTTGTGCAGAAGCAGATGATGAATCTTTTGATAAAAAAATAAAGCGTGAGCAATAAGATAACACTTAAGATGTTAACAAAGTACTGAGACTCTCTTTTATTACAAGGTACCCGTTAGTTTCATCTCATAAACATACTTTCTGCTGTCTTTCTGCTTTTCGCTGATAAAACTGCTGTTATTTTCTGCTTTTCGAACTTCAAAAGGTAGCAACACTGGTGTGGATGTGGAATCTGGATGTCGGTGGTAGTTCTGCCATTCACTGACACCCACACCTTCAAGCGTCTTCATGATAACAGCCTAGAATCCGGAGGAAAAGTTGCCCAAAACTATAAAATTTTGTAGGCAAGCTAATCTAATGAAGGTCTTGATGTGGCCAAAATTTCCGGTGAAAATCGGAAACTTTGATTTTAATGGAAAAGCAGGATTCCGACGAAAAAATAATACAACAGCGTCGATATCTCAACCAAATTGAAACTTGCGCCCACATCCTTTTAGGTCTTGTCTAGTGTATATGTGCCCTGTCGGTGGACAAATTTTAATCTCAAAACTTTTTTAGCACCTTGGAATGTTTCTTGGTCAGCCCTGTACTCTGATGACTAGATATGGATCGTTTACTTGAAATTAATTTAAGTTTTACTATCTCACACTTAATATGAGGTTTAAGATTTTCTTCTGAAAACGTTATTTTAAAAATTAAATGTTAATAACAAACTTAATACTTAATATCAAGTTTAAGTGATTGCGGTAAATCAATAGCATTTAATTTCAAGTAATTCATTACTCCTAAATGGACGCACAGTGCTATTGTTTGAGCCATATTAAAGAGGATCCATGATAACTTCTGATCGGCTCCTAACAAAATCAGGTTTTGTCCTTTCAATAGTGGAGAAGGTAGCTTCCTCGAATCTGATGGGTCGATAGAAAAGAGGCATCAACCAATCACATGTCAGTAGCAATCTTTCCATCTGTTGTAGGGATAAAACCTATTGCTGTTCGGCACCGATCAGAGGTTATCAGGAATCCTCTTTTGTATAGTTGAACAAAAGCATCGCATGTCCCTTTATGAGTAATGAAAGGCTCGAACTTGAGTGAATTTTGCGTCAACCAATCACTTAAACCTAATTTTAAATGAGTTAGATGTTTAGTAAGTTAAGCTAAATGATCCACCTCACTAATAATTGGCTAGTATTTATTTGAGCAATAAAAATATTGGGATGAGCAATAATTAACATACGATTCAGCAATAATTTGTGAACAATAAAAAAAAACTTTATTGAGCAATTTTATATTATTTACAGCTAACCTGACAAAAGAGAAAGAGAATGAAAGGTGTAGATATACATATGTAGAGAAAGAAAGAGACTGAAAATATAATGTATAGTATAACACGACTCTGTCCTATAGCACATCTTCGGAATGTAACATAACAAAATGAATCCATAGTGCCCCTTTTTATATAAAATTTACCTTTAATTTAAGTAAATTATTGCTGATTCAATATATTTTTTGCTCATTCAATATAGTTATCGCTTATTCAATATAATTATTGCTGATCCAATATAATTATTGCTCATCCAATATAATTATTGCCCATTCAGTAAATTTATTGCTGAATTTCTTTATTGCTCATTTCAATTATTTTATTGGTCAATTAAATATAAGTCCTAATAATTATAATCGATTCCGGTGGATTATAATCAATATGACTTGACTTTTAGACAATTCTTATCCCAGTGATTATAATCGATTCGAAAACCTGATTGATTATCGTGGATTAAAATCAGTATTGCTTGGTCTAAATCGAAAAAAATTATCAACTACTGATGAAAATTGATTTTAATTGATTAATAAAAAATTAAAGATAATCAATTATACTCGCTATACATCGATTTTAATCAGTTCCAGTGCGGAAAACGATTATAATCGGCTAAAAACTAATGATTCCTAATCAATTACGCGAAAAAATCGATTCTAATCTTTCATTTAATAAAAAAAACATCAGAATTGCTTGATTTTCATCAATTAATTACTCCTGAAATCGATTAAAATCATGCATCTGTTGATTTTTCTGCTTATTGTTTTTTTACATGGGTAATAATCGGTATAATGACATATAGAAATACAAATAAATTACGCATAAGTCGTCAATATCAATTAGTTCAAAAACAATTAACATCAATGCTGCTTATATAAGTTCCAATACAACTTTTAACAATAATACCATATACTGCATTCACGGAATATAGTTTACTTACTACAACTGTGATTAAATCTCAGAATCAAAAAAAATATTTGAAAATTTATTTTTAAATATATTCCTACTTATTTTTTACACAACATTTGTATGTCCTTTTTTTGCATCATCAACAACATTTAGACAAGAAGCTAAAATGTTTTTTTTTTCATGTCAATTATTTATTAATAATCAAGTTCAACCAAATTCAACAGTTATTACGAGAAATACGAAAAGAGACTTACTACCTATTCAAATATAGACAACATATCAATATTTCACATAACTTATTCATTTAATGTTGTCGATTTCTCTCTCTTTATGTTTATCACAACATTATTTTTACTCTTTTCAAACAAATAAAATTAGCTCTTTATGCAGTAGAAAATATAGCAAACTTCCTTTTTTCAAAAGGCACGAATTTTATTAATCAATGAAACAAACAAAAGTCGTAGAGGGAGCTCAAGTACTTTTCAAACAGAACTTTACCGTTCTATTCTAACACAAGCTCAATGCGAAGAATTTGAATAGCAATACAGTGATACGTTGCAATGCTCATGTACCGAGAATTCAAGATCGCATAAGTCCGATTGGATCAATACTAGTCGACTATTATATCTATCAGTGTACAAAAAAGTTACATATCATTGTTTTTGTTAATTTTGGTGATATAAAACAGCACGATTTGCGGAATACCATCGATGTGTCGTCAGATCGATGGTATTATCATTAAGCAACAGAACTGATTGGAAAAAAAAGAATGATGAGGAGAACAGAACGAATAACATTACGCGCGCGATACCAAAAAGAATAAAATAAACATATGCAATGAGTCAACAATGTCAAAGGAAATCTATTTTTAGCTACATTCTTCCATGAGCACGTCATTTCTCTACACTCATCGCCCTTTCGTTCTTCCCAATGAATGACGCGTGGAGCAATCTATTTCATTACAACACCAGATAAAAGAACAAGTCTTGTGAGGTATTATATATTGACTATTTATAAAATAGACGTAAATATTTGAATATTATTTCTTAGCATCATTATCCTTTTCTGTTTGTTAAAAAAAAATAGTGTGAAGATTATCTTGAATTTTCTTTCTATTATCTCATAAACATACAATCATGTAAGTTATGCTTGATGCTTTGTAAGTGAATATTATTATCCGATGATATTATTTAGGCCTGATGGACTTATAAAACTCTATTATAAGCAAGTAACATCGTATTTAACTTGATACCATGCATATATTTTTTAGGTTAAATATGCGTCGAGCCGGTGTTAAAAAACGATTTTTGCTAATTGGTGATGATAATGACGAAGGTGCAACGTTTTGTTATTATGAAAAAGGTTCTAAAGTTCCACACGAACCGAGTTTTATATTTATTCATGGATTTTCATCTGATAAATATGCATGGTTAGGTGTTATCAAGGTCAGTTAATATTTGTTTTCGTTTAATTAAAAGAAATTATTTTTTCATACATAGGAAATTCCTTATGGTTTTCATTGTATCGCAATTGATTTACCCGGTCATGGAGAAAGTGTCGGATTTAACGAAGAACAATTAATAGCTGTTAATGTGGTGGATAAACTTAAACTAGTAGTGTACAATCTAGATTGATTCTATCCATATATCCGCATTTATGTTTATTAGTTTTTTGACAAATTAAATTTGACTGAACCAATATATCTGATCGGCTGTTCAATGGGTGGTTCAATTGCGGCAATATTTGCAACAAAATATCCATCTTATGTGTGTATGATTTGTTTACTTGCACCTGTTCCTCGTAAGTAGTGCATATAATTATATTCTATGAAATATATTATTTTTATTTATACGTATTATAGCTGGAGAAGAGTATGAGACTGAACTGCTGAGCCAATTGCGTTCAGGAGTTTATCATATTGTTTTACCAGAAACACTTAAACAGTTCTACGCGGCAGCCAAGTTGTTATCAATGAAAAAAGTTCATGCAAATCGATTATTGGCTAGAATATATTTAAAATCGAGATTATCAATGTTAGATCAACATAAAAAAGGTAACAGATTAATTTTTCTACACGATCGAAAATCGTTTTTTGGTTGAAATGTAGTTCTTAAATCAGCTTTTGAAAATGACTATCCTAATCTTGAACAATCTTATGCAGAATTGAAAAATCTGGCGTGTTCTGTACTCATTATTTGGGGTCGCCAAGATCAGGTATATACATGTGTTATTATGTTGTGTATATCAAATTAAAATTGTTCTTGTTTAGTTATGTTCAGTTGATGGTGCTAATTATTTTTCCAACTTGATACCAGACGCAAAATTAATCTTTTTCGACGATTGTGGTCATCTGATCACTACTGATAAACCAACACAGACTGCAAGCATTATTATTAAGTTTTGGGAAACTCTTTCCACTTATCGGACCAACTTATACAATTAATCAAATCACTTTATTGTGTTTTTAATTATCGACATATAACATACAATGAATTTCAGTTTTTATTAATCGAAGAAAACGTTTATATTTCCTATTTAATGTTCAAAAAGAGATACTAATTCTCATTAATTCAATGGAAAAATAGAAAGTGCTATATAGTCACTGAAGACTCACGAAATCTTTTTCGACTGTTTTAAATATTTGACGTACACTGTTTCTTTTAATTGATGCATCTTTAATTTCTTGAGGGTAAGCGTGTGGGTGTGGGTGTGGAATCTGGTTCTGGTAGTAGTTCTGTCATTCACTGACACCTATACCCATCCCACACCCATATCCTTATTCCAAAATTGGTGTCTGCTTCTGTTTGATTAGCTTCGTATATTAATACCGATCAAAACGTATACGTACTGCCAAATTTTTTGGACGACAAGCAAGTTTTTCTTCATAACCACCAGTATTCTCTTGAGTATCTTCGAATATGATTCCACGTTGCATACATCGAATAATAATCAATTTCAATACTATCCATGCTAAAGCTTGTCCAAGACATGCTCTATGTCCATCATCGAATGGGACCATCGCATGTGTATGATAATTTTTATCTTCGATTAAAAATCGTTCTGGTATAAATTCCTTTGGATTCTTGTTCCAATATCGTTCATCAGTTTTTATATTGAGTAAACCAATGAAAATAATTTGACCAGAATGAATTGGGACATTATCAATAATTGTATCAGAAGTTATCATGCGTGTCGTTACACTGATAGTAGGAGTCAAACGGAAGACCTATATTGATAAGAAAAAATAATGAAAGTAATCGAAAGTCTTACGACGGAACATATACAAGTGTGAAATCGTTTTTTGAGTCAGGACTATGTGTATCATGTAGATCGTAATGAGCTATGAATATCTTGAGAAAAGTTCGGGCTATTAACTTATCGCTACCGAGGTCTTGCATTTTTACGATATTTTTTTAGTACAAAACCGTACTTCCCCTCAGGAACACCAACAAAGCTTAGTTTCGAATTTCAACTTGAAACTTTGCACATAGACAGACCTTAACGAGAATACTTTATGGTGAAGATTTCAGATTTTTTTTTGATTGCTTATATTCTGAAACAAGAACATCGGGATGTGCCGATGTATATGAAGAAATTTAAAACGTACTATTGCCATAGTCGTATCTTAGGATAAAAAAATACAATGATCTGAGACTTTCATAATAAACTATTCTCGTGATGATCTGTCACTGTGCAAAGTTTCAAGTCGAAATTCGAAAATTAGTTTTCTTGGTGCTTTTGAGGGGAATACGGCTTTGTTCCCTTCTCTAAAAGAAAGAGCCTACACTACTAAAATGTTTGTGTGTCTATCTGTCCAATCAATCAGAAAGCAGTATAGGTCCAGCGTTGAAATGTACTATGTTTTCGAGCATCAAGAACATGATTCTGATGTCAATTTTGATCGATTCAACGGTTCAAGATTCGATCGAGATGATTTTTGAGTTTCTGATCGAGTTGTAGATTAGGATGGTTTGTGAGATATTTGAGTATGGCAACATGATTCTGATGTGGATTTTGATAAATTCAACCGTTCGAGGCCCGATCGAGGTGATTTTCGAGTTTCTGATGGAATTTTAAGCATGAAGAATACAACTTGTATAATTATTAGCCAAGCCTTTTCGTCACAGAAGCTCAGGAGGAAGGTCGCAGCGGATGCACAGCAAAGTATGTTCGCTTTTCTGAAAGAAAGGGTCATGCAAACGTTAAGTATTTGTATATATGCTCGCTCAATCAGGGAACAGCATCCATCCAGTATCAGAATTACACCATATTTGCCAAGAAAGGTTCTCGAAGATTATCGAGGATGGAGAATTTGAACCTGAGTTCAGGTTTTTAAATACTTTTGCTATGAATATTAATAATTTTCCAATATCGTTAGGTAAAACGTCAGTAACGATAATCGAAGGCAGAGAAATTAAATCGATGTAACAGTTATTTATAAGTGTGCTTGTAATCAAGCGAAATAGTATCAAGGATTACTTATCAAGTGAAATTGATCAAAGTAATCGCATCATCTACATAATTTTTTTTCTAGAAACTGACCATGAATGGCAATACTCATCGTAGATGTTGAATGTAAAATTCTGAAAATGTTGATTATGAATAGTTACAATATAAAAACCCCACTCCAATGTCGCCCTTCTTTGAATTTCAATAAGTATTATTTTTAAAAACGAATTTGAATCCTACTATAACATTTCAAAAACTTTGTCATAAAGTTCTTCAACCACAAAAGTTACCACACAAACCTTCGATTTGAGAATTTTCCATGTAGAACCTTCCAAAATCGATCAGTCTTTCCAGAAGGGTCAAAACCAAGTGAAGTAAATCGTAAGCGTAGTGGACCATTGATTGCTAGTGAAAGCATAACGTAGGAGACGGCTAGTCGTGAATGGCACCTCGACGAGGCGCCGACGAACGACTAGATATGTAATACAAAAGTTCACTGACACAGGGCTTCAGAAAACACTCGTGAAAAGCGTACACCTAGGGTTCTGATGCCGATGAAATTCTACAAGAATGAGAATTTTCTGGAAAAGAAGGACATTTTCACTCTGTTACGGGATTAGAGGTCGATAGAAAATAATATAATCGCGCTTCGATTCAGTTTGACATTCTCGTCATAATTGGATTCAATTCGGTTCTGATCGATTCTGCTCAGTCGAACCTTACCGTGTCGAATTGCAAAATAATGAGTTTGGTTTAGGCATTTGCACAGAATTCACAAGGCGCACTTATTTCTACAATTTTATCATGTGATATCTGTGTATCAACAATCTCTTAGTTTCGGGAGAAAAGCCAAAAGCTAATAGAGTAAACCGTCAGGAGATTGGACCATCAATTACCCGAGAGTACTTGAACGAAGTAAAAAGCCCTACGCATTCTATATCAGTTTTCGGTGTCAGAATTCAGTGTACTTCTTTCAGAAAAAGGCGAGCGAATCCGTAGGATGAGTGCTACCTTGCATTAAAAAATACCATCACAATGCAATATCTCGATAGCAATAAATCAATAAACCGAACTTTTTCAGGGTACTCATAGGTCCTTCGAATCTGCATGATGCACATCATCCTAACTCAAAAGCGATTTCACATTTGCATATGTTCTCTCGTTAGAAGAAGTCATACCTCTTTTGAAACACATTCACAATAGATAAGTGAAGACAATTTTTCTTCTGTCAACGGTGACGCATATTCAACATCGTCTGTCATCATAAGATTATGTTGACGTAATTCTTCTTTCATACGTTGTTGTACATGAAGGTTTTTACTGAGAAAAAAGATGAACCATGATAGACCTGCCGATGTAGTACCATATCCAGCCATTATTGACAATAATACTTCATCAAGCATTTCTGCACGTGTCAAACCTGATGAGATATTTTGATCATTGGCATCTTCATTAACTGATGAGACCAGCGATGCAATAAGATTCTTTGGTCGATGATTTTCTGTTTCATATTGTTTATTTTGTTCTTCTTCAACAATCTTTTCTGTAACTTGACGAATAAATCGATGAGCTCGTTAATATTTCCAATTGAATTTCAGATAGATTTTAGCCAACCATCGAGGTAGCCAAGACATCATCATTATAAGCACTGCATAGGAAACAAAATCTTCAAATGCTATTTTCAATGGCGAATCTGTTTTAACATCGAAATCATAGTCAAAACCAATAAATCTGATGATATTCATCGTCAATGATTGACAACAACTTACAAGATTTCGATGTATTTGACCATCATGAAGATTTCGATCGATAAAACGATCGGCACATTAAAGAATAGTGTCTAAATGAGTTATCATCTTTGTACGCTTGAACATTGGTAACATAACTCGAATATGACGTTTCCATTTAGCACCTGTTAGCAAAGAAATTCCATAAGGACAAAGTAAATCAAAATTTGGCATAATTAAAGGTGATTGTTCAAAATTGTGACGATCTGTAAATATAATTTGAGCATGTTCAGGTCGACAAAATACTATACATCGATGTGGACCGAACCAAAACATGAATTTGTCACTATATCGGCGTTGATAGTCAATCAATACTTCAGGAAAAGTTTGTTTTCCTGGCAATAGATCTGAATTAATTAGATTTCCAACCAAAATTTGAGGTTTCATCCCAGGTGGATCATCAAATGATGGAGAAAATCATCGTTTCAAATATAAATACCCAAGAAAAACTGTTAAACAAAGGAGACTTGTGAATAGTAACAATGCCATGAAGAAATACAAAGTATCACGAGAAATGCGCAGCTTCAGTACGAAGGAATAATAGTTTGAATGAAAATATTACTTGTCTTTCTTTTCTTTTCTATTGGCTGGCAGAAACAAGTTTTTCTTGTTGATACGTGTAGTGATAAGCAAGTGCGAAACAACAGAACGCGTCATACTATTTTCTTTTCTTTTTGAAAATATCTTTAAGTGGGTGTGGGTGTAAGTGTCGAATGAAAATTGCATACCTACACCCACATTTACATGTTAATGTACGACTTCTTCAAAATTTTAAAGATCAAGCAAATATTGATGTATTATTTTCAAAAGAAAATTCATTTTTATTCAATATTGAAGTATTTCAATTTTCGACATTATACAAAAATAGAATTCTATTTAGTCTTGAACAAAGAAAGGATTATAGTAACCGTTGAAATAATACTATTCAAAAATTTAGATGTCTTATATCTCGTATAATTAAATGTAATAAATTTACTACTCGTGATACACATTCACTTAGTGAAGCAGAACAATTAATTCGACAACTTTCGAAACCCATTGATGAAATCATTACACTCATTCAAGGAAATCTTCAATTAGTCGAATAACATTAAAGAAATATAATATCAAATAATACACAAACACCGCAAACTTTACAACATAAAGGCGCAAAAATCATACCATTTCAATATCCACGAACAATCTGCACAAATGATAAATGTATCAG